CTACTGGTACTCCTGCTGCTGCTGCTGCTGCTACTGCAACAACAACTACTACTACTACTACTGCTGCTACTACTACTACTACTGCTACTACTACTACTAGTGCCACATTTGGTACTTCGACTAGTGCTATCACCAGTTCTCGTACTGGCACACGTACTGCTACCGGTACTACCGCTGCGACTACGACGAGTAGCACTGCCACCACTATGGCTTTGCTACTGCTACTGCTTGTAGCTTCTAGTGCTCATGGTATTTACGGCTGGGACATAGCGAGACAAATAAACTGTACTACTTCCCGCTAGGACACCTGACGTCTCATGCAGTCTTCGATCGGACTGCATGGCTTGATCCGCTAAGCAGGCACAGGGATCCGCTCATCCTCATCAGCTCGCTTCCCTTGAACCTCACCGTTTTGAAAGGAACCTGCGCACGAAAGCGCTTTGCAAAGGAAGCCCCGGAACCAATCCAAGCCTCCAACCCTACAAATAGCTAACACGATACAACACGCATCGCTTCTATAGGGTTAGCGCGCTTTTTTTTCACTGGTAGTTTGGGCTGCTTTAAGGTTTGTCTTACGTGGCAGGCGTGGGACTTTTGAGCATAAGCTAGTTTTGGGGCCTCAAAAAACTAATCCTTCTAGAAGTCCAAATCAGTGCAACTTCAAGGGACTTTGTGTGGACCGTAACATGGTTGGGACATGGATGCTCCGTGGGTACGGACGGACTTTGTGTGGACCTTAACATGGTTGGGACATGGATGATCTGTGGGCACGGACGGACTTTGTGTGGACCTTAACATGGTTGGGACATGGATGCTCTGTGGGCACTGACGGACTTTGTGTGGACCTTAACATGGTTGGGCCATGGATGCTTTGTGGGCACAGACGGACTTTGTGTGGACGTTAACATGGTTGGGACATGGATGCTCTGTGGGAACGGACGGACTTTGTGCGGACCTTAACATGGTTGGGACATGGATGCTCTGTGGGAACGGACGGACTTTGTGTGGACGTTAACATGTTTGGGACATGGATGCTCTGTGGGAACAGACGGACTTTGTGTGGACATTAACATGGTTGGGACATGGATGCTGTGCGGGAACACGGATGCTGGATGCAAACACTGGAAAAAACACAGGAAAACGCAAAAAACTTACGATAAAACACACCAGAATGCCGCCTATCTGCGAAAAAAACACACACGATAACGCCCGCTATGTGCAAGAAACACAGGAGAATGCCAGGGAAAATAAGGCGCACCCACCTTCTATAGGGCTGCGGCAGACGCCGTAGTCTCAGGTGTGAGGGCACGCATTGTCTCCTGCGCCCACATCTCAGCTCGACAATCTTGAATTTCCCAGTTCGGGGCAGCTGAAATGTGGGAGAAGACTGCAACCTGCTCCTTTCAAGAACACGGGATTCTCCTGAATGTGCAGAAGCATCCCGTAGGCTAGAGGCCTCAAGCCAATGATGCGACAAGATGAACGTGCATCCCGCTTGCAAGCTACCGGGCGGAGGCCAAACTCATTAGCCGCTGGGTCATGCACGCAAAAGCTTCGGGGCCCGCTTCTTCGGAAAAATGGTTCAGCACCTTGCACGAATTCGACAACTTCATTGGGGAAGATGCACACAGGCCGAGACAGGCTGAGTGGGAGGCCCGCCGGACGCCCTCGAAGGCGAGGGACACCGTCTCCTTACTGCCGCAGATACAACGCTTTAAGCTCAACTGTCACACAGCCCAAGACATCCACATCCCTAGACCAATGCACTAGGCTCGCGACATCCCACTGCTTCTCTGGCGTGTCTCGGGAATGATGCACAATCAGCTGGTTGTCCGTCCTCGACCTCGCAAATGTTGCCTATCAGACTGCATGGATGTACCATCTTTCAACTCTGTCCTTGACTTTAAGAGATTTTAGTGTTGTTTTCAGAAACATCATCCAACCCGGCAGCACGCTCTTCAATTTTGGTTCGGGTGTCCCGGACGTGCCGCGCTGTCGAGCTTCACGGGCGGCATCCTGTATCTCTGCCAAGACCTCCAGTCAAAGCAAAAGGAGGAGCTCGGGAGCCGTCTGAAAAGCCCGCAAACTACTTTGCCAAGGAATCGGTAAGGACGAAAGCACTGGTCTCGGATCTATACAACGGACTACGAAAGCCCCATTCCGGGCCCTTTCGCTCGTCACCCCACCTGTTCTATTTTGACAGAATGTCTCCAATTGTCTCCATGTGGACCGGCTTTCGAAGATGTTCATTATGATCGAGCCTGCTAACTGTTCCTAATTATTCAAAGGGCGCGGTTGCAATATATAATTGGTGATGTTATCTGTTGTGTGTCCATATGACCCGTCTTCGAGCCTTCATCAGGATGTCCGACAAGCACCGCGAATAGCACTCGGTTCCCACCTGTTGGTCAATCCCCCCGGCCATTGGCTCGCACTGCGTGCCGGCTTGATGCCTGCCTTGCGGCCGTGGGAAAGAAGTGCTGTCGACAGGCTCTTTACCTGCAGACAGCATCCGACTGTGAGATGAGATTGCAATGCGACAGTGGAAATGCGGGATCTTGGCAGGATCCCGCCGATGCAACCCAATCGCTGATGGCTGGCTCAAAGCGAGGCAATCGAAAGAAACACCCTAGTTGGTTTCGACAGTTTGTTTCCGCAGAGCTGAAGCAGCGTGTCGGACTGGCCGGACAACTGCTGCAGCATCCGAAATCTCTAGCTCACAGGCAAAGCCTGGAGTGGCAACAGCATGAAGGATCGCAAGGACCCGCCGTAAAGGAAACTAGGATTGCGGCAAAGGATGCAGAATTTCACGCTTGGACACATCTGTAGGCACAACTCATCTCGTACGCGTGCACTGTCTCAGACCGGCAGATGCTTCTGCATGCAATCGCCGCATGCTCATGGCACCAATGGCCCGCTTAGTCTACTCACCCGCGAGACAAAACAGAATGACAAACTGTCGCTGCAGTACAAACTGGCCAGTATGCTGCAGCAACGTCTGTATGAAGTGCCACATGGAGCGTCTGAAATGGTATGACATTGTGTTTGTCTAGCAGTCTGGCATTTATCTCTGTGAAGGCCCACAGCATGCAACCATAATTTTGCACCGGTCTGCTGACACGGTGTCCACCTGCTTCTGTTCAATCAGCATCAGGTGAAACGTCGGTGGATGTCGTGGGCACTGCAGCGGAAGTCTCCTGCCATTTGCTACGCATGCGAAATAAATTCTAGCATTCCGTGGACAAACTTGCGCCTGCTCGTCTTCCTCGGGAGATCTGGCGGTTGAGGCCTCCGTTGGAGGGGTCTGGGCCAGCTCGGCAGACTCAGCGTCGGCCTTCATCTCCGGACCTGACCCTGCTGTCTCCGGCACTCCGGCAGCCGGGTATGGTGAAGAGACAGGCTGTGAGTGAGATCCGCTCGCATCCGCGTCTTTGCGGAGTTTGGCAGGAAGCAGGTCCTGAATGGAGGCCCCTGCTGCCTTGCGACGGCCAATCTCCACATTTCGCGTGATGAGCTTGGAAACTTCCCAAGTTCTTCGAGAATCAACTTTCCACATCAGCTTGGTCAGCGCAAGATTTGTCTGGAACATGGTGATGAAGCTTTCCAGAGCCTCTTCGCTGATTTTGTGATTCTGGTTCATGAGGTTCAGCGTTTTCAAAGTCTGGTTGGTCGCCAGGCCCTTGGCTATAGAAATCGCCCCACCGGTGCTGAGATGATTCTGCCTCAGCAGACAAAACGATTTCGCAAGATGACTGAATGAAAGGCTAGGACCGCTAGGCTTTGCCACCCAGCGCAGCTAGTATGAACTGGGGTGCAAAGCTCTGCGGCTTCACGTGCAAAAGGCTACCACCAAACTGGGTAATCATGTTCACAGACCAAGTGCTCTCCATGCTTTGTCTATGTCGAGCGAAACCTGGCCGGTGGCCCGCGCACTCGAGTTCGATGATTTGATGTGTGTGTGTGTGTGTGTTGCGTGTGTGTGTGTGTGTGTAAATCCTGCTTCTAAGGACAATGAGTCGGATGCTTGACAACAAATCAAGACTGCGGAGGGCTGGCAGCCTATTCCGTGATGCCAGCCAACGAAGCGAACGGAATAGGTGGAAGGAACCATGGACGCATAGCTCCGTACCTGCAGAAGGTTGCACCTGTCGAGATGTATATACATTTATATATTCAGCCTTGAAAAAGTCTTGATGATGCAATCTATCGAAGTATGTATCTGCACAGTTTGTCATCCTGCAAGAAGTTCAAGCTCTTTCAGGCTCCAAAATCCTTTAGCTGAGTGATTGTACGACGACGACATCAAGATGACAAAGGCAAGGAAAGAGAGAGAGAGAGAGGTTGACAACCGACTCAGACTGGGAATCACCATGTTTGTCATTCGGCTGGTGATTCTGTCGTGAAGGGCGAGCTCCACGGAGTGCCCCCCAAATTATACCCGACATGAAACGTGATCACATTCTGGTGTGAGACAAGACTATCACCCAAATACTAATACCCCACGACCTGACGGCTAACGTAGTCCCAAGTATGCCCCTGCCAGAAGCCTCCAAGCATCTCTGACATGTCTCATTGAGGTGTGTCAGACTATTAAGCAAGCATACCCAAGACCCTGCTATCAGCAGCCGAAACTAAAACAAGTCATACTGGTTGGTATGATACCCAAAGCTGATCCAAGAGCTACAAAGTTGTACAAGCATCTTTGGATGTTCCCAGAAAGAACCCATTCGCCACCCAGAAAACACCCATCGTTTCGAAAAATTCTAATTTCGCTTTTGTTGAACATGAATAATTCGTTTTCACCACCCGAAGCTGGTCCGGCACTCGTTTTTGTCGTCTCGTTTCATCTTGTTTCAACTTCAGCTCAGTGGTCAAGAAGAAGGATGACAATAATCATGGTAAGGTTGATTGTTCCTTTTTCATAGGATAAATGTTCACACTTACACCTAACTTTTTAAAACCCCAAAGATGATTGTAAGATTCGTGTTTTTCGTGCATCTAATGGTTCTCCACTAGCTGATTCTTTTCTGCGAGTCGCAAAGAAGCAACTTGTCGTACTTGTGCGGACTACTGTAGAACTTCAAGTTCAAAACTGTGTCTTTCTGCGATTAGACACATCCGCAAAAGCGACAAGTCAGACAGCAAGAATTTCAATACTGCCTTAAATCGAATTCCTTCAAACCGATGACATTCCAGTCTGCATGCAGTAAACATTGAGAACTTCCTGTGCATTGAACCTAGTTGACCTTTTGAGTATGCTCTGTAGGTGCTGAAGCAAGTGGTCGAACTCAAGCTAGCAAGGCTTTGTTGACTACTCCGCGGTCATTGTAGATCAAAATGTCCGCATGGTGGAGGAAGAACGACTACGGCAGCAACAAGAGCCACCCTTGGAGCTCCGACAGCAATCCGGGCTCATGGGCTACAACGACTCAGATGAAACCAAGAAGTCTTCCACGTGGAACAAATGGCGTCGCGATGATTCTGAAGATGAATGATGAGCCCCCAGGGAAACAAGAAACAGAACGTAGGTGAGATTCTTCACCTAAAGTTGTTTGAACTGGCATATGGGGGTTGGAATAACTTTCATCTTCGCCATCTTTCGACTGGAGCCTTTACGACAATGGTGTTCTGTTTTGATAGCTTGGCTAGAGAATGTGCTAGGCCTGCTAAGCAGCATCCCGAACTCGTGCCATCTTCGGCTGCCTTTCTTGCCAAGCAGCTGGAACAGTGTGCTCATGAAGACAGGGATCATCATATTCAGGTGCTTGAAGCCCAGTTGGCTAACAAGCAAATTGGGGCTAGCGCCCAGGGCTAACTCCATTGCTGCCTCTGTAAAGAAATGGTGGATCGGACTAAGGGTCAAGAATGTGGAGAAACTTCACAATGTTCAGGCTCATGCCGATTCTATTTTGGCATCGCTCAGACAAGGGCAGCAGGCCCAATTGAAGGACCGAGCATGTTCGCTTGGCTTGCCTTTCACCGTAGCTGCCACGTGCAAGGAGCTTGGGACCCTTCGTATCATTTTCACGCCTGATAGACCTCTGACTTCCAACAGCTGACGCAGTGTCTGACCCTTCAGAGGCTCGAATCTTTGGACCTTGACTGAACGCTTTTCCTTGTCGAGCATTGATTGCTTATTGGGCAGTTGCAAATTTAGCCTGCAATCTGGGATTCTCAAAGAATGTTCTACTATGGAAGAGGAGATTACAGCATTTAGAACGGGCAGCACTGCAGAGTTTTTCAAGTATGATGCAACGACATTTCGCAGTGTATGCACTGCTTCATGTCAATACCGAAGAAACTGGTCGTGGGCAATGGCTAAACTGCTAAACAACAAGCTCTTCTATGTGACTACAGCTGGTATACATTCCAGGCAGGATGGAAGATTGCGAAAACATCGCCGTTTAGAGCAAGGGCAATTTGTCAATGTGGAGCTGGTTATGCATTCTTCATTCTCGAGCTCTTCTTCATGAAGTTGCTATCGTGCCAATGCTTATTAAGCAGCTACACCACCAGTTCAGTCAATTACATGTATTGGCACTGCATCGTTTGACTAACCACCTTGACCATCCTCCTAGAACAAAATTAAAAAGCTTATGGAAGAAGGTTTTGGAGTTCAGACGAATGGCTTTACCAAAGCCTGCCGGACTATTGGTTATGCTTCTTTACTTGCTCATTGTGGCTTCAAGCCTATTGTACAACAGTTTCGAGATCATCTACAACTAAGGATGTTCTGTACAACCGTTTGAAGACGCAGAAAACTTGGACATGGACTACAGTGACTACACCCCCACAAGGTTCCTTCAAGCAATTTGTACAAGAACATTCCTATCTTCGAACAGTTCATGGCCATGTTACCTGTTACCTCTCCTGCATATCTTTTGAAAGTCTCCCGTCGACAAAGTGAAATTCTTAAGTACTCTGCATCGACCGAAGTTTCACCATCATTCGTACAGTATCGAACTTTGACAACAGCCAAAGTCAAGTCCCGGATGCGAAGGCAGGGACTTAACAACTTTGACACCACTACATGGCAGCAGCTTATTAGCGAAGAATGGCCACGACATTGTCAAGCAGCTTGGGTCATGTACCTTCGACGACTTCCTGATCCTTTTTTTCATGGAAGAGATCATGCCATCAATGAAATTTAGATCTATTGTCCATTGATGTATTGGCAAGTGGTACGTTCGACATTTGGAGTCAACAAGTTTACTGTGCAGTTACAATGCCTCCTATGCAAACGGAGCAATATTTGCTTCAACAAACTAAGCAGACTTGGTTGCAGAGTGCATCTTTGCACAGCTTTTTCGAGCTACGGCAATACTCCCTGTTGTACTGCAAACGGAAACCCTTCTCTGTAGCTTCGGACTAAGCACTTTTCCGGCTATGATGAAGCAGATTGTTGACTTCTTCCAATCGGTAGCTGAAGATGCTGAGCTGCAATGCTTTAATCAGGATTTGGTTGGGTCCCAGCATTCCAGGTGACAAAATTATGCCAGCAGTGGATTGGATGCTACAACAGTTTATGCTGAAGTACAATCTTGATCCATTGACTTACTCCTTCAGTGTTTCTTTGCAAGAGGAGGATAGCAAGCCGTTTGGAAAGGGAATCCAAAGCAGCTGGCAAGCCTATGCATCAAATCTTCTTCCGGGACATCTTATCCATTGTTCGAATTTCTTGCGATTCCAGCTTGTTTTGCAGTTTTGGGTCGAGCCTTCGCACAGCAACGGGGAGCAGCGGTTGGCAATCAGATCTCCCCTATTCTTGCAAGTAATATCCGGAACGTGCCTGGTTTAGTCAGCACTTGGACTTTCTCGAGAATGTATAATCACGATTTCTGTTGTCTTCGTTATGTTGACAACCGAGTAATCAGCTCTGGTGGGCAAGGAATTGCTTGACCATCTCCTGCATTGATCGAGGTTTTGAGCGATGAGCTCTATGTTGTTCCACCGGTGCAGTTGGAAGCAGTGGATACACCTGCAGTACAATAACGGTTTCTGGGTTTCGACATTCAGTTGAAGCCGACATTTTCTGTCGAGATGATTAACACCAAGGGTTCTTGGAGGTTTCGGTTGCCTACATCTTTTTCTGACACGTGCCAGTCAACGGCTCTTTTCGGTCCAGCTCTGCCAATTCAATATTAAGAAGTATGTATGGACTCAACGGAAACGACAGGAACTACTTGTTGATCTTAATGATCTTTTCCTAAGAGTTCATAGCACTTTTCAGTCAGGTCAATGAATGCTTCACCTTATACCATAGCCGTTGTGGCTCCAAATTTTCTTCTGCCTGCATTTTGAGATCATCATGAGCGCGCAATCTTCGCAATCAGATCAAATGGAACGAGCTCATGATGATGCCTCAACAGCGACGTGAAGCTATTGCTCAAGCTCGGCTACAAGTACTAACAGAAAATGGGCAACACCATCGAACTCTTCTACACCTTCGTCGCTTTCAAGTGAGTTTCGTGAACTGTCGGCCGAGTGTATTGAAAGTTGCAATCAACCCTCAAGCAGCGCGTATCAACTCTAGAGTTTTTGCATCAACTTCAAAGTTTCTCTTCAGGAGCTTTCTCACCAGATTGCTACGTAGGGAGCATTAGGGAGCAATGGCTTGAGCATTGGGCGGCCGGGTGAATG